GCAGAAATTTTCGACATCCATAAATATATATCGGATATAAATAGCACTCACCGACATCAACACAAGCCCCCGTGGATGAATACCCTCCTTCCCCAGCTCAGCGGCCAACAGCCCAGCGATAGCAGTTCCCAAACTATGCCCTACAATCAATACATCTTCCGGCCTCGCGCCTTCCGACATCAAGTAATTCCACCCGGCCCGTGCATCCATCGCCACGCCATGCACGCTCGGATGCCCTTCGCTGTCTCCAAAGCCGCGGTAGTCAATCGCAAGCACGTTCGCGCCGAGACGTGCGGTAAACGCAGTGTAGACCGCGATACGCCGTGAGAGGGCACGTGTTCCTGTGTTCCCGTGCAGGAAGAGGATTGTGGGCTTGTTATGGATTGCAGAGGGTATGTTGCGTGACTGGGCTTTGGGTGGAGGATATGGGAGGGATTTGTAGTATGAGTCCGAGAAGATGAACCATGCGCCGAGAGTGGTGTTGTCGAGGCTTCTGAGATTCATGTTGACGGTCTTGCCAGCTGAAAGAAGTCATTCAAGATTCTTGCTCGTGTGACCACTGTGTGGGACTACTCACGAGCCAAACCATAATATTCAGGATGGTCAAACTTCGTGTTTCCAAAGAGGTAAATATGCTGAGCATACAGTACGCTATTCGCAAATCCACGTATTTAGTATTGTAGATTGATATTCAGCCTATGCCACTCACCGAGATTGTATGAAAGGCGTCAACATAAGAACGATAATGCCTCCATAGAGCAACAAGAGGCCTAGTAAAAACGAACGTGCTCTCGTATAGAATCTCCTCTTCGTCGCTGAGCCCTTGGCTGAAGTACCGGTGGACATGGTGGTGGTTGCCAAAGGGCCACTTCACCAGGACGGATTACAACGCGGGGCTCAAACATGATTACATCGTTTAGTTCCGGGCGACAGCGCTCCTTTCTGGACTGTGAATGAATGAATGATCGTAATCTTAACCGAGCGCGTGTCAGCATCATGTCTGATGATCTTGTTTGCGTGTTGCTCGGACATTCGATGCCAAATACACCCTAACTATAGCAACCCCGATTTGGAATTATCGAAAATTTACTTCTATTCTCAACTCTCTGTTCACAAGTCCTAGCTATAATCCATGAGGCCGCATGTGATCTAGAGCTGCAAACCGTGCCGTGCTGCAATTTTCTGAAAGCCAAACGATCACGGCACGGATGCTTTCACGGCCGTTAACAGGCAGACGGGCGACCTTTTTTTGTTGACTCAATATTTAGATTAAGTAGATACAGCGTTTGTTTCTATTCCTGATAATAGATGTTTTTCTTCTTATTTTTAATATCATTGGCACATTAAAAAAATAAATCGCAGTTTGTAGTTATAATGAGGTAAATAGTTTACCTTATATACATAGCTACATTTCCAGCTCATTGGCATGGTCACGGACGAGTTGAGGCCATTGGCTTTACCAATATCAATAGACACATCTGCTTAAAATTTAACTTAGACCATAGCATGATTTAAATCTGATGAACACACTGGACGGCGCACTAAAAAACTGCTTTTTTTTTTTCGCTTTATCCTGCTCAACTTCTGACTCGAGGACTCTTCGGCAGAAAGACGAGCAAAGTCTATAGTACCGTAAAAGCAATTACCAATTAGTAAATAACAATACCACTGTAATGGTTCAGTCAGATCATACATGTGTTTTAGTATTTATCCAAGGTAAATATAGCATGTATACATCAAATTTATTCGGTTTCCTGAGGGTGAGCTATCCGTCTGGAATGGTGTGGTGTGAGGTTCGGTATTTGGTATCTAGATAGGTAACAGATTTCACCGCCGATTGAAATTTGACAGGCTCTGCTACGGAAGTAAGCGAGCGCCCAAGAAGTATAGAAGGCGACTGAATACCTCAGTTCTTGCCATTGAGGACCTGTCGCGAATTGTGGTATGTTGCAATTGGAAAACTAGAGCAAGACGCCCTATTCATTTCTAAAGTCCTTCTGTTTGCAATATACTAATACTTGGGGTCCTTAAACATTTTCACATCCATGAACCTTGTATCTTACGACATCAAGCCCCAGCGCTAATAATCCCCACAGTATATATATCTGTTGATCATGTACTTCTCGCTGTCGTTTAGGAAGCTGCTTGCTACCCAGACAATCTTATCAAGATGATGCAGACGACTTTCAACACCTCCGACTTTTCAGGAAAATCTCCAGAGAAACACATCACGAATGAAAATATAACAACGCCCTTGCATTCATTCCGATATCGCCAAGCGCCAGCTGGGTACGATAAATTAATTCATGCAATTCGGAATTTTGACTTCGTAGCATTGCTCTTCTCAGGATGAATACCCTTCAGGATATGCCGACAAAACTAGCGCCTGGTCCATATTCATTCACAAAACTAACTCCGTGAGCGGCAGTACTTTATCAACCAAAGTTCCTGGCAACCCTAACTTACACTCACCTCACGTAGTGATGGCGCTGCCACTACAAGTTCTTTATACGACGGATGGCGTAAGCTGATTCATCCAGATGGGAAGCCGTATTTTCATCACCCCCAGCTACGAATCGTCACCGAGGTTGACATCAGAGACCGCGCCTATCGTCAAAGGGTGTATAGTTTCCACTCAAGTATACTTTCGAACCCAAAAAACTCCCTCCATTTATATAGTAACGCGCTAGGCGCTGAGATGTACATCACCCTTCAGCCAAACGGATATTACATCGCAGACCATACCTTGAAGCAGATATGGTGGCTACAATCTGTTAATATGGAACGCCTTTTTAAAAGTGATGATCTTCGTCATTATCCACCAACTACATTTGGTGAGTAAAATCACGATATTCGAACGCAAATGACAATCGAAGGTTGATGAGGTGCACCTGGTTGCAGAAAATTTACTGCTCTTCAATTACTACAAGCATCTTGAGCATTTCCCCTGTCATAATGGCCTACCCTACAATGCCATACGAGTCCTTGGACAGGGTCTGATCTTTTCTGCAACAGGTGCTATCAAATTTCTACACAGTCCCTCAATTTATTGACTTGAATCCTATCGGCGTAGATAATCTCTCGTCACGTATCAGCACCGCCCCATGGAGTCCAACAGAAGCAAAGATGTATTTGGATCTTCTAAAAGAGCTGCAGGGTGAGTAATTCCTTCCTCGTTGGAGTATAACACCTTTGATTTACAATTTAAAACTAAAGCTAACGACGCAAAAACATACAAAACGTGGTTCGTAGCACGTCTAATGTGCACTATGCGTGAGCTTGGTCATTTCTATTTATAACTAAGTGCAGTGACCAACTTTAAATTCCCGTACGTAGTCCACAGTCGGATAATCTACCGCCACGGTTCTCCAACTGCTATCATTGACTACACCCACACAATCCAAGTCCCTTCAATCACAATATTTGACCACATCATTGGAATATTTTCATTTTATGTGTCCTTGACATACCTGAAGCGGCTTCACACTACCCGCGCAGGCGGCGTGACTTCTTTCGTTCGCTGGAAGGCTATGGTGGAATCGCTGCTCGCTGAGTGGTCGGATTCTAATTTGCTAGTAGGTAGGCTCCTTTCATTACAAAAGTGCAGGAATTGAACAGTAAATATGAATTCCCAGGCAACCGTTATTCTTTCGTAAGAGTCAAATGAAATCTGGATACACAATTAATAACTTATTGAAATTTAGGGCAAACATGGCTTTTCTTGCTCTCCAGGATTTATCAAATTCACAGAGAACGAGCAGTATAATATCAACCTTATTCTCTATAGGAAGCATTGTTAGTGGTCTACATCATGTACGTGTCCACCGAGAAACGAAAGATATATCTGCGGCAGAGGCAGTAAGTCCAACCATGCTTTACAAAACCTTCAAATCTGTTGAATGCTTTTCTTTTCAGGCAGCGTACTTTCGTCGATCAGGAGGCTCACGAAGAAGCTTCAGAACACTTTCGTTCTTCCTCAGCATGCCACTAATCTTCCTGAGCTGGTCACTCGTTGCATTTTTATGCGGTGTATCTATGTACGCATTCCAGAGTATGCGGCCCTTCTCTACGTACATCATAGAGGGGGTGGTGTTTGGGTTGATCTGTGTGTGCCTCTTTTCGATGGTCCTTCATTTTTACTGGGTATTTACCGTAGAGAAAAAGGGAAAGAAGTCTTTGGAAAGCGTTGCTTCTGATGTCAATGCTGCGACTATACTGGACCATCAGCCTGCTGTCCCGATTGTAGAACAGCATGCCCCGGTTTATAATAGTGTTCGGCCTGAGATTGCAGACTGATTTTCACGTTATTGGTTTTGACGTCAACGAGGAAGTGGCGGAAGAGGAGGAAGAGGAAGAAAAGAGAATATCTGCGGAAAGTTTTTCATAATATGTATTTGAAAATGATTTTCGACGAATCAGAGGCATTCATTCTTTGTTGATTGAGCAATTTAAATGAATGTCCAAAATATAGAACGCAATACAACTGAAAAATATATGTTCTGACATGAATTATGTCAGGGTCTCGCCTCATTTCGGATTTTGCTGCGCCTCGTTTGGTCTTGCCTGTGCCCCAAGCCAACTATTTTCCCCTACGCTTCATTTGAACTCCCTTGCCCTATCCTTTAAGCAACTAAATCCTACACCGCATGAAGCCGTTACCAGCAGCCGATAATTAGCCCCTCACAGTGCGTCTCTTTTGTTTCTAGAAATAATAAGTCACTTTCTAAATATCTATAGTTGCCTGTTGCTCGGATACAAAGACGATGCCAAACACACCCTAACTATAGCAACCCCGATTTGGAATTATCGAAAGTTTAATTATGTTCAACTTTCTGCTCACAGAGCCCAAGGATCTGGTGGAGCCAATAGGTCGTAACAGGCAAAATAATTTCGATTGGGCCATACCCTATGTTCTGAGCAACCGGATCCCACACCGCATGGAGCCGCTACCAGCAGCCGTGAAATCTGAAGCGTATAAAAAGATTCCCACTATCATGTTATGACCGAGACAGGGGTCGAACCTGCAATCTCCTGATTTCCGACTATCTGGAAAAACATCGTAGTCAGACGCGATGCCATTTCGCCACACGGCCATAAATATCACGAGGCACGTGGTATTTGCTTCTAATCGCAAGAGTAGTCGTACATATGATTTATCTACTGGTACAAATAAAGAAAAGAAGAAGCATAGTTTCTAGCGAATAGAACGAAGGAATAACAATATGTCACAGAAGGATAACATCAGCGAACAAGCGTTCCAGCTGAATAATAAGCATCAAATACGGGGTCGTTAAAGACCCCACCAGTCTTAAAAGCGTCCATTTCCGCTTCCATTTCGATGTAGTCCTCATCAACTTCCACCGACATCTCTCGGAAAATTTTAACTTTCTTCTTAGGGGACAGCGTTGGCACGACAAGGACGTCTTCCGCCATATCACCCATAGCGTCGAGGTAGATATCGACTTCACGAATGAAAGATCCTCCATTTACCTCCCGCTCGGTATCTAAGCCACCGATGATGAAGTGATAGTCGGGTAGTTGAAGGTGCTCGAACCCTCGTATACATAATGACTGGAGTTGGGGGCATGGGCACGAGCATAGTGGAGAGTCAACCGATAGCGAAGAAGAAATGGATACCGCCTTTTTGAGCGGTAATAGAGCGCGCACTGCCTGCATGGACATGCCGATGAGCTCTAGACGTTGTAAGTTTGGTAATGACCCAAAGAACGCCTCTAGGGGGCGGGGGCACGACTTGACGTTCTTGAGCATCACGTTCTCGAGGAGAGGGAATGCCGCACGAGAAGCAGGCTCACTTTCCTGAACAGCTCCGTGACGGCACTTCGGTACGCTACTCTGTCCCGCTATGGAAAACGGAACTTCTGCCCCACCAGACAGCTGCCATTGAACAAGGTAAGGTTGTTCGGCATTCTCCTGCACAAAGGAGCCAGTGCCGATATATGTTAGGAGGCTACCAGCGTCGACGTCCTCCGGGTCACCAGGATACCTCGCATCTTCAAGAGCAAGGTTCTTGGCATTGGGAGCATCGAGGAGCTCAAGGATAGTGCGGCCTTCAACGGCACACCTGTATCCGATGGTGATGTCGTCGAGAACAGGGAGGGAGACGGGTTCGACGTCGTGCATCATGAGGTCCTCGAAGTCCTCTACGTCTTCGGGGATAAATGGCCCAGACCCCGAGATGGAAAGTTGCTCGAGAGCAGGATTGGCTTGCAGGAGTTGTTGGAACTCAGATAGTGATGGCCTTACATCGTCGCAATGCGACGATAGCTCGAGGGAAGATAATCCACGCTGTGAAGAGGCGAGGATGGCTGACAGCGAAGTCCAGTCGACATGCACCCCGCGAAGCGTAAGATGCTTCAGCTTAGGAAGAAGCTGGCTGCAGTCATCAAGAATACCGTTTCCAAAAGCGAGGAAAGAAGGCCCCTTCATAGTCTGCGGTTGGAATTCAGGCGAGAAGCTGATGAAGTCATTACATCGCATCAGTATGAGTGATTCCAGAATCGGTGCCCCAGAAGACGTGATGCTAGAATTAATCTGGTTGAGGGCAGTGTACATAGGAGACCAGGAGTCAGTGAGGATGCTGAGAGAACGCCAGCGAGATAAGTGGGGCAGTAGTTTCGAAACGATTGTGTTCATGTGGGCATTGGAGAATGGAGGGGTGTAAGTATTCATTTCATACTCGGACGGGATTCTATGGAAAGGGGTGTATAAGTTATGCTTGTTATCTTAGATGCGGATGTACTCACTCGGGCTCGAAGAAATCCCAATCCTGATCACGAGCGTCAATGAGAATATCAAGGGGATAGCTTCTCGAGAGTCTGAGGTATGCGGTCAGATGGGAGGTGTTAATAATGCTGGATTGCGTCGACGTAGAGGGAATATGTTCCATCTCCTCTTCATCCAAATTCTCCACCATTTCCGTGGTTATGCAAAGGCTTGTCCATAGCCCAGGTGAGTTGAGAACTACTCGTCTCCAGTGGTGACAGACAGCGGAGAGGATAAGAGGAGTTTTGACGCTTTCGACATTGAAAGGCGGTTGACGATGCGCATCGTTGGTTTCCGAGACTTCCTGTGTCGCATGGGTTCCCAAGGTGAAAATATAAGAAAGGAGCTCGATGGGCAGGCCATTGATAGGAGATGAACGTTGGGTGCTACGGGAGCGAGGATACATCCTGTACGGTGTACGACCAGGAGTGTGAAAGGGAGAACTTAGGTGTGAAAGCCATGAGTTAAGTACTGACCTTCTCCTTTGTCTCCTGTTATCAACCAGAACAAAAGAGAGACTGATGACGAAGATCAGCAGATCATATCGGGATTCCAACTTTGCAATTTCCTATTGTTCTGCGGGGCCAGAAGAGTTAGCGCGAGAAGCAGAGACCGATAATAGACTTACTTCAGTGACTCCCTTCACGTTCCCAGCATACAAAAACCTCAATCTTGAGAGTCAGAAAGAAGTAGGAAAGGCGGGCAGTTTCCCGTCAGAACCACGAGGATAAAGGCAAAACTGAGCAAGTTTCATTCCGGAATCTTCAAACAAGTATCCAATTTCGTGCATAACAAAGGATGGTCAGAAATGGGACCACGATCGATCTCAGATCTGCCACACCCACGTGATGTCTAATGTCACGGTAACTCAACTTTCTCAGGAACGCATACGGTCGCTCAGGAGTCTCCTCACAACAAAATGTCTTCAACAGGCTGCAGTCGGTCGTACCAAGGGAACGACAAAGGCGGCCACAACCATATGTCTCCGATGTCCCCAGCATAGAAACTCAAAACAATTCCCAATTAAATAAGGTCGTAATTGAGCTTAGTTGTACATATTACATTATTGAGTGTTTGACGAAAGCTACCAACGTGCGACGTAAGTAATAGAAGTTAAAAGGGAGGGTAGAGAGAGAGAGAGAGAAAGAAACGCAATCCATGACGCCCAAGGAAATCGATCCTATGCACGCCTATCTACGTCGCTATGGGGAGGTGGCCAGACCGTGGCCATTCATCTTCAGAAATGCAGGGCTACCGAAGCTTGATCCCGACACCGAGACATTGTTCCCACCACCATGTCGGTCAGGCGGGAGCGCGTGCTGACTCTGTTGAGGTTGTATGAAGTCTGATGAGAACAGGTGTCCAACATCCACACCACCATCATTAAAAAACGCCATCATCTCTCCAGGGGACATGTACATCTGCGGATCCTCTCTTATCATGTCCATTCCCATCCCTCCAGACGTATCCATGAATGTAGATGGGGTCGGCGTCTGGGCCTGCACGCTTGAGTGGTATTGTGGTGGGGATGCGAGGGCGGGAGCGACCCCTGATGCCGGGGAAGTGGTAGATGAGAATGTCGGGTTGCTTTTGGGCGTGTCTGAGAAGAATTCATTAGGAGAAAATGCTTCGGGACTGCTATGTTGCGATGGTGAATCGCTGCGGGTCGAGCGCGCGACAGAAGGTGCTTTTTTGCGCACAGGACGTATCCATGGTGGGCGAGTTGCATTTGCGGGGCCGGACTGGGGTGACGTCTCGAGGGGGATGTTGGTGACTACCCGTCGATAACGTGGATTTAATTATGGGGACACACGGAATAATGATAGACTTACGTCGGCAAAACTCCTCCATGAGATCCCCTGACCGAAGTCCACATACATAACGACCGCTGAATCGTCGTAAGAGCCCAATACAAGAGCGAAGGGCATCCAATCCGGGGGGTATCAGGTGCTGAAGAGCTTCTGTCTTGCAGCAGAGGAGGATAGCAACGAGAGTCCTTCCAGCTTGTGTCAACTGATGGATCACGTGTACGCCGTCTAAGAAGTAAATCTGTGAGAGAGGAAGTAATAGAAATTATAGATGGTGACTTACAATATGTCATAAGGCCCTTCTTCGCAACATGGAGGTGGGACGAAACGATCATAAGCGCAGAGTTGTGGGCAGCGATCATGGCCTCCTTCTCCGCCTCAGTTTGCTCCTCCTCTACAGGCCCACTCGTCCTCTCGGCGATGAGCTCTGAGAACCGATGTCGGTAGATAAGCATACGAACGAACTGTTCCGCACAATGCAGACGTTCGGCCTGAGTGAAACGAATGGTATCCTCACTAACCAGAGTATCTTGGGTGTGTGCCCAGTAAGTGGGGATGTTCCTGTTGATATCATCCAATAGCGCCTCTTCCTCTCGCATTTCCTTAAACCTCCTCGCTCCTGAGAGCACAGATGTTGCGCGCAGAAGGAACGATGAATCGTCTGGCTGACGAGCAGGCGGAACATCCAACACTGACTCCAACACAATCATGATCCTCAGTGAAACGATGAACGCACTGAGACGACATTCAGTCCCCGGAGGCGGCTGGCCAACCGCATCCCTCGTAATGAACTCGTCATCCACTGCAGCTGGCTCCGACACATCGCAATCTCTCAATCTCAGTATAGAGGGACGTCCAAAATGTGCACTGAGCTGCTTATCCCAGATATACACACACCAAAACGTGCGTTTCCTTACCTCGTCCTCGATAGGGTCGAATAAGTCGTACGTGTCGGCGGAGCGGTGAAGTCCACCATCAATACACATCGTAACAGCCTCCGCTAGTAGCGCCGCGGCTTTTGAAAGCTTCCCTAGGCCAACAGCGTACACGGCGGCGATGAGGTTGGCTTGGATGTTGTATAGGGTAGGGCGGTCGGCGATAGGCAGAGTGCGGATTCGTCCTAGGAGCTCGAACCACTGCGTTCCCGCGGATATGCCGTCGTTGGGGTCGGCGCGAACGCGAGGGTCGTCCATGTGTCGTGAGGCCAAGCAGCATACCGAGACGATGAACGCCGCAAAACCTGGTTCACCCCATTTCTGAGGATTTCCATAATCCTAAATTAACGAATAAACAAAATAGCACGCCGGAGTCAGAACGGCTGTAAATGGAAGAGTTTCGTGGGGAGGAGGGAAATAAAGCACATACTGCAAGAAAGGTGGGAACATGAAGAAATGGAAGGATATAGTATGACGTCGACAGATAGCACTGCACGAGACTGTATTTTGGGTCAGATCGAACGGAGACAATGACGCGGAGGAGATATTTACGCGCCTATCCATTAG